ATCTAAATGGCGAAGTTATGAATAAGTAGGGTCGCCGAAAAGCATGTGTGTGTGAGTGAGTTGGTCAACAGCTCGAAGCAAATATAGGACCAAAGTATTCTTTACCGGCGGTTATATACCGGGCTATAACTTAGCCCATCTGGGCAAGAATGTGCAATAACGATGATTAAAGTGTAACGCTATATGTTATTGCGTGCTAGAATAAGGTGGCCCTCTAATGCTAACATCTACACGGGGATTTACGACAATCGCCATAACTTCCCTCTCTACCAAAATAACAAGATGGCGACGGTGATGTTGTGACGCTATCCCGTCATCCATTGTGGTATCGGCTTGGCGACTTTGTGGTAAGTGTTTTCATAGAAATCAAGGTAGAGAGAAATTATTTGTACATACTGTTCATATGTATTAATATAAAAAGAGGATTCAGTCAAAAACCGCGGCGCAAAATATCGCGGCCGGAACCCGACGATATTCTATACATGACAAGGTTTGCGCTGGGATTTTTTTCAGACCAAATACAAATATACCCGCAAAGTTTGGTTGAAACTGGCAGTTTGTAAGGCTGTCTTACTATTAATTTAATCAGTACCGGTAAGTTAACTGCCTTCTTTCCCTACACTGGACCCGGGAGGACTATTCGTTCGTTGAGAAACTTGTCATAAATCACCGAAAATACCGAGGTAGACTCGGGGACAGATTTACTAAAGAGTACGTCTAGAGTAGAGTGGAATCTTCCGGTATGAATGACGCCTGTAGTATGCCGTGAAATTATAACGTTAACCAAGGTCTGTGTATAATGTCCTTGCGTTAACGTTGGCGAGAGTGTAAAGACTGGCCCGTCTAAACTACGAAATATTACTGAGTACTGGTAAAGCTGACTGGGCGATGCTGACCGCGCCGATCAACCTACGGTCCACATGTTGCCGGTAAGTTGGGCTGCCCTGGCCCGAAGAACCCACTGATAGCACTCAGGTGCTTACCGCAGGCATCAAGGAAGTTCTTCGTCAAAGAACAGGTAATTTGTAGCATATATATATATGCAACAACAGGAAGTAGGTTGTTTTGTGTATGTCTTCTGATTTTTTTGTAAACATGAAATTCACAAGCTGCGTTCCAGTAAACTTCCAGTTTGTTTTGCTTGTTCAGATTGATCGAAAAATTTAGAAGGATCTTAAGAATTTAAATTTCCTTTGATAATTTGTCTAAAAGACGCCGAGCCTGTATGGGGTGACGCACGCATTTAAAAACAAGGGGTCATTGTCCTCTGAAGGAACGCCCCAGAATGCATTGCGTTTCCGGCCAATCTCACCTCTACGGCGAGTTGGATTCATTTCATAGAACAAATATGTGTACGTTACCGGTCAAGCAAATTTGAAAATTATTGTTGCAGAGGAATATCGATCATGCTACAATAACCTATATATTCATTATTATTTTTACAACAACCCCAACTGATCATAAGATGGATTGAAATATAATATAATCTACAAGAAAGTTCCCCAGATGATGAAAGAAATGCTTGTGTTGGTGTTTGCACGCCTGCGGTGCGACAACTGCTTTTGGAATTAATTGACTGCGATCCCTTCCTTCCGCTGAAGGTCCAACCACTCCATTAGCGTACGGTCAAGCTCCTGATTCTTCACCCTTGGTCATGCACCAGCCGTTTGATGTTGGCTAGTGCTGATGCGAGTGACTGAGCTAGTCCGAAGAATTTTGCGACAGGTAGACTATCAATGATTGGCTAGAAGTCACCGTATGTGGACATTTCTATCATATTATTGACTGTCACCTTACGAAATATTGCTGTTGTTTTCTTAGGACATCTGGTGGACAACGCCACGCACTTTATTGTTAGGCAAATGTGTTATTGTTTGGTGAGGTTAATGTGTTCATATTGAAATTTCCCGCGTCGGCGGAGTGCTTTCCCACCGCACAGGTTACTTGCTCGCATTGTGTTGGCGAGTAGATAGTTTTATTAAGAAGAAAAGGCTTAACCTAACTAGTCTGACACTGTCTGAAAATTATGCATAGTAGGCAATGTCAAAGAATTTTCTAACGGAGGACATGAAAATCAAAGACTTAACCGCACAATCAACATTTTCTTTGTCGGTTCATACGCCGACATTTTACAATATTCCAAATGGCTATAAGTTTGTTCTACGAATAAGACAAACTATAGACAAATCATTCTGTTTGTTTTTGGTAGACTTCTATTTAAGCAAAAGGTGCCGATAATTTAGGAAACATTTATTCTCTGTACATGTGTAATGCAAACCTTTTCCACGGCGCTGTGTGCCCGATGATCTCCCCTGGCTACTGAGATCACTTACCTTTTGCCGTCTTGACGGCGTCGACCGGTGGGATTCTAGCTGAAAAAATGCTGCACAGACACTTATAAAAAATTACCAAATGTCCTTGCAAAAGCTACCAGAAAGATATTTCTATAAGTGTCTGTGGAATATACAGTTATAACCGAAGAACACTTAGTCTACTACATGTAGTATATTGTTTGCTGTTTTTTTTTTTTTACCGACGAGCCGGACAGGCGCTCTGGCCGGTGCTCCATTCGTGCAAACCAGGTTTAAAAAAAATACACAGAAACAAATATTTTCACAAAGACCAACATGCAAGTAGGTTACTATATACTTCATGATGCCGTGTTGTATATGTTGTAAAACCAGGGGTCGTCACACTGGTTACAGCGTCACAACGCACTTGGGACCCTGCACTCGGGTGGGCTCGGCGGCGGGCCGACTTCAGGCGGTTGGCCCTGCTGTTAGTGGCGCCCAAGGTCATGCGCATTCCGGCTGTTGGGTGGAGAGTTTCGCACAGATCGCGATCTGCGCGTTTCCGTCTTCAGGGGGACAAATTCGCACACAAATGATGGCATGCGCCGCCCATATGGCGATCTGCGCGTTTTCACTTTCAGGTGGACAAAATCGAACACATAGGGCGATCTGCGCGTTTGCGCTCTGAGGTGGCCAAAATCGACATGCGATATGGTGAAACGCGACCTTCGAATTTCTCCAAATCGCATACCTAGGTCTAGCTCGTTGGTGATCTAATGTGTGTTTTGTTTCATGTTTTGTTCCATTTTTTCGCACTTGCTGTACACCGTAGCTAGGGGGAGGGGAGCGCAGCATGGCTAATAACACCATGGTATACGTACACTGGTGACACCTAAACGATGCATTAATATTTTTGCGGGAATGCGGGGTTCAACTTGTTCTTGCTACGGAGCATGCAATACAATGATTATAGATATTTTCTAAAATGTGTTAATGAAAAGACGTTTGCTGTGAAGTGTTTAAGTGTCTTCAGAGCAAACGTCTTTCCTACGTGTAGATGTTAGGTCTCATATTCATTTTTATTTTATCTTCTTTAAATTTTTTTGGGAGATTGCGAAAAAACGATACCTTAATCATCTAGACAGTCTCCTCTCTACACAAACATATCAAAGTAACATCAACAAAAACAAAAGTAAGGTAGTTATAACAATGAAGAAAAAACAAAGATGGTGTACACATCAAAACAAATCAAATGTCTTTTATATTCGCTGTAAGAAAATGACCAACCACGCTATTCGTGATTTTCTATCTCATAACAGAATGAACCACAACTTAATCTTTCAGTGGTTCCAGGCATGCTCGGTAGCGAACGGTTGCTTGCGTTTCGTCCAGAGCAGCATTCTTGTCTTCCCTTTTGACATAAACTCTGTATTTGACTTTTCCGACACCTTTGGTCTTGCAGCGGGTCAGTAATTCGTAGTTGGTTCCGTTTTTGCCAGATGCCAGCTCGACTCCTACACAGAAGAGCGTCATGGGGTCGTACTGTGACCAGGACTTGTGTGTGATCCGGGCCATGGGTAGTACGCATGCGCGCAGACGATCTTCTCCGCACGAACAGGTGTTCAGTTTCCCGCCATTACACGCCACCGTGACGTCACAGCTGAGGGAGCGGAAGGTCATGTCTACTGATGCCAACAGCTGCCCTCTCAGCAAGTTCAGGTTCAGCACTTCAGACCTCAGTAAACCTCGGTCATGATTCCTGGTTACCCGGCTGATATTTGTAGTGAAATTCTCACCAGTCTGCATGACATGATGTGGGCGATGCTCTCTAAGATGGCGGTCTCGGTTAGCGCTGTTTACATTGTTCCCTGGTACCGGCGGTGTGACATGTACGGCGCATGCCTGCCTGCAGCACAGCAGGAGGAGTAACCAGGTCCTAGCGATGACCACCATGGCGATAGAAGCTGTACCTGCTGGGGAAGGAAGGTAGCTTCAATCACTGATAACAGCACAATTCACGATCGCCATTATTAATTTGATTAGGCCACAGCATGTAAATTTCAACCTGCATCCTCTACAGACTCCAAGTTTAATGTAAATAAGAGGGATGCTGGGCTGAGAAACATCACCATAGCAGTACTCCACTCACTGATGGAGGACAGGGACGAGTGGAGAAGAGGAACCCATTGTCTTCCGTGTTGACATCCTTGATGCCCCCGTTCAAGGTTCAGTGCGATAGGGCATAAAAACATGATGGGCAAATACAAGTTCCTTCAATTATTAAATTTTGACATCCAATGATAAAAAGTGTGGTAAAAATTGAGGCGACAAAACATGATCGTAGAGTATTTTCTTGGATGAGGAAATTGACAACTTGCTGGTTCCATTATAAGACTTTCAAACATGTGACATTTAAATTTTGTTGTTGTTGTTGTTCATTTGGACATGTGACATTTGGAACCTTTTTTTGTTCAAACATTTGAACATGTGACATGTGGAACCATTTCTTTTTGTTCAAGCATCTGACATTTGAAACCTTTTTTGTTCAAACATGTGGCATGTGGAACATCTTTGTTTGTTCAAACATGTGACATTTGGAAACTTTTTTTTGTTCAAACATTTGGAACCTTTCTTTTTGTTCAAACATGTGACATTTGGAACCTATCTTTCTGTTCAAACATGTGACATTTGGAACCTTTTTTTGTTCAAACATGTGACATTTGGAACCTTTTTTTTTCAATCATGTGACATTTGAAACCTTTCTTTTTGTTCAAGCATGTGACATTTGAAACCTTTCTTTTTGTTCAAACATGTGACATTTGGAACCTTTTTTTTGTTGAAACATGTGACATTTGGAACCTTTTTTTTCTTCAAGCATCTGACATTTGGAACCTTTTTCTTGTTCAAACATGTGACATGTGGAACATTTCTTTTTTTTTTGTTCAAACATGTGACATTTGGAACCTTTTTTTGTTCAAACATGTGACATTTGGAACCTTTTTTTGTTCAAACATGTGACATTTGGAACCTTTTTTTTGTTGAAACATGTGACATTTGGAACCTTTTTTGTTCAAACATGTGACATTTGGAACCTTTTTTTGTTCAAACATGTGACATTTGGAACCTTTCTTTTTTCAAACATGCGACATTCGGAACAGAAAAGAGAGGAACAGACAGATATGAGAATGTGCTGAATTCATGAGAAAATATCAATATACCATAGCAGTGAAGCAGTTTCATACTTGTGGCGTTTTGACGTAAAAGTGAACATTATAAGACATAGATCATACAAATTAGGATATCATTGACGAGAAAATCATACAAATTACAATAGCCGTCTTCGTAAGATACGTCTTTCCTACTCTGTACAAGTCTGGGTAGAGAAGATCGCGAGCTGATATAATTCATACTAATGAGCTCCAGGACCGCATCTACGTAATCAATGAGAGATCTTCATAATACGCAAGGCTTTTTTTGTTTGTTTGTTTGTTTGTTTGTTTGTTTGTTAGAACCATTGTTTATTTACGACAAGCCCATATCGACCTACAGGTCGTTTCTTATTGATGTCATTCGGGGAGGGATACGTATCAGTCAAAATATACGACAAAGATACAGTTTACATCATTTAAAGTCCTTATAAATCTATACACATATAAAGAATAAGATTACGTTTAGCGGAGAAATAGGGGATGGGGATATTTCAATGTGATAGTTGACATATTCAGAGGCAAATTACGCAAATTAGGATCTTATTGGTAATTGTATCTGCTTTCCATAATAGGACTTTCTGGCATGTGATATATTTAGATGGAGAAGAGACGAACATCAAAAGATATCAATCATACACATGAAGTTCACATTTGCCTAGTTAATATATGAATTAATTGATATATGAATGAAGCCCTTTATCGTTACAATGTACATTCATACCCACAGGGTGAGGTAAAGGTTACAAACAAAGGAATGGTTTGCATACACATGGATACGTACACGTCGTCAAGCTATCATGAGAACTAAAGTCTGTTAAGTAACTTCATTTTTTATCGCTTGTCCGTGATTTTGAAAAGGTAAGAACCAGTGTCAGGACCAGAGGTTTGTCTGAGCTCAATAGTCATAAGACTTTGTCTGTATGAAATAAAGGCTAATCTTTGACACGAATGAATTTTCGGTTGATTCCAGCAACATCCATGCTGAGAATGTGTATTACTTAGGTGTTAAAATAGGGGAACATTGATGTCAACATTCTATAAAGTTTGACTGAAGGCCATATTGGCATAGCCTGGGTACCATCCTACTTGTATGACGGGGCTCCCACACTCGCTTCCCTAAGAAGTACTTCTTAGGGAAGCGAGTGTGGGAGCCCCGGCATACAAGTAGGATGGTACCCAGGCTAATATTGGCAAGTAACCACAACCATACGTCACATAACCAACCAATTTAGCAACTGATAAATTACACTAAGTAATAAACTAACAACCGTCGGCAAAGTAGTATACTATTGTCCGTCTTGGTAAAATCTTTTTTGAATCTCCATACGGAAATTGATATCAAGATTCTTGTAATACCGCTTGAAACTTTAACCCTCAAACACCCGAACTTTTTTTGTGACGTTAATGCCCGAACGGGGTCCAAATGGACCCCATTTGGCTTCTTTCAAATTTATATTCCTTTTTGCATTATTTCGATGATCTTTGCACATATATTGGTTAAACATAGTAAGAGGTATATTTTGGCATGATTAAGTGTTCAAAAATTCCAGCTCATTATCATAATTTATGCAAAAATAGGATGAGGCCTGCAGGCATGAACATGGGGTTGACCTTTGACCTCATATGATTGTCAAATTGTCAAACCTCTAAAAACCTGATGACCTAATTCCTGAGGTTGAGGTTACTTGGCAAACTGCATAATATTAAAGCAATAATGCTTCATTGAAGACATATTGAGGACATCCGAACAATTTGTGTGTAGGAAAGTGCAAATACATGACTGGGGTCCGTTTGGACCCCAGATGGTCTTACATAAGACTTACGTTGTTATTTTTACAAATTTGTGCCGATCTCAAAAAAAAATTAGGAGAACTTGTAGAAGATATTTATCGACAAAGTCACGAGAGGAATTTTTTTCGAATGAAAAAATTTCAAATAGCACATAAAAATATACGCCTGGGGTCCAAATGGAGCCCGTTCGGGTGTTTGAGGGTTAATCACTTGACCGAGTCACGTTTTTTTACTTTATTTATAGACATGCTAACATCCTGATTTAGCGTTTAATATCAAGAAATATACTAAAGCTTTCCTGCCATTAAAGGGAACATTATGATAATTATTTACCACCCATACAGGTCATTATTTTTTTCCTTGGCATTTATTCAAAATAATGTAGCAGGTATATAATAACATGGCTGGTTGTACAAGCCACTTCTATCATGGACAAATGTGGTACATTGATAGATGTAGTAATAGTAGAATGGTTTATTTCAATTTGAAAACTCAAGACATACACAATTCGCACTGACGACGGACTCGCAGGCAACCATACTGGATGTCTGAATTGCTCTGTGGTCACACAAAATATCATCAAAATATGGGTAGTATTGTTAAAACATTATTGCATATTATTACATATTGTTAGAATTTGAATAATCATAAAATATTCCTCTGCGTTAGTAAATGGTTTGATAGTCAATATGCATGTTTACAACGTTACATTATGCAGTAAAAACGGTTTGGTGAGAGGCTGTTGTACATGAAACAACATTAGCAACAAATCTCCCTTACATGCATTGCCGTTTCAGGGTTATTCAGTGACTTAACCATGTACAACTTAACCATGTACAACAAAATACGAAATGTTTTCTCATCAAGATACACAACAGGCAAATTCTGTTACTTGTGACCCTTCTCCTGCTATGAGGAAACCCCGAACATGTGACATATATATACGGAATGTGTAGCTATGGGTTCCGTCTTCATTTCCGTACAGTATACCCCAACATGTCGTTCTTTTCATGATCATCGACCCAAGGCCAGAGCTAGAGTTCGCCATTTTCTCAAATGAACTGATGCCATAATTTGTATGATTCAGCTGATGATCTTTGCCTGGTCTAATAAGTACAAATGTCGCAATGGTAGAATTTCTAATAGTTAACAACGAAAGTACATTAAAGCTTTTTTTTCTTGTTAAGCATGCAATTAATTTGTTTACGCCGTGTTCATTGCTGTTCGTTTATCAAATTGATGATCCTATCTTTCCATATTCTCTATTATTGACTACAAAGAAATCATTAGTAGTCCTAGGTCTCGTTAAGTGTCAAAATTCAATTGATGTACATTGTATTTAAATTGACATTGTTGCACATGGCTTTCTTTGGCATCTTTACAGTAATCAGTAAGCTGCCTAGAAACCAAAAAAAGGTATCAAAATCGATCTATTCTTTTTTAGTCATTAAGTCACTGGGCTTTGTTACTGGTAAATACTTCCGAATGTACTAGTATATGAAATTCCCGTCATTTATAAATTACCAATATTGCATCACTGTTGTTTCTAACTACCTAAGCAAATAATATCTACCCTCCACGTATCACGTCAAAGGCATGGCTAAATAAACTTGAATAAAACATTAGCCGCCTCCGAGTCATTTTACAACAACAGCTTCTTTCCCCGGACTGCAAAATTATGGAACTCTCTTCCAAACAGATGTTTTCCGTCCGACTACAATCCACAAAGCTTCAAAACAAAGGTCTACCGCCATCTCCTGACATAACTACATTATACTCGCTTAAGTACCTCTAGTTCTATGCCTAGTAGTGGCAAAAAATAATTAGCCTTGCATTGAGCGACACCGTTAAAAAAATTAGCGTCCCTCCTTAGCTATTTTCAAACGTCTGTGTTATAAATAACTCCACATTTCCCTAATTTAGTTCCTTGTTTTCTTCTCTTCAAAGTTTAAATTTAAGTCATATCTACAAGCATCCAGGTAATGGCATCCAAGCACTCCGTCATCATTATATTGTTTGCTTTCTACCTAACTTTATTTTATTTTATCTTAGCTTAATTGATTTATTTGTATTCTTGACGAATTTGATTGAGGTATGCCCAATATAAGTATATTAAGCTTTCTACCTCACTTGCACTGTTTATTACTTCTCATTTATATTTACTAGTTTATGTATTTGTATCTTTTTTAAGGTGCTGAAAATTGAAAGAAGAAAAATAAGAAAAAAAATGGTTCTAACCTCTTGCCAAATAATATATGTCTCATGAACTATGAAATTTATGACGTGATTTGTATGATTAGTGCATAAGATGATGTTAACATTAACCTATGTGACATATATATGAAATCCCGGCATTTACCGGAAACGTGTTGCTATCGACGAGCCATGACTCTCGAGAGAGTGCAGAGGAGAGCCTTGAAGATCATCTCTCTGGGTGGAAGGAGGAATGTTCCCGACCTCCCAACACTCCGCGAAAGACGTGAACTTGCGGCTGTCAAGCTGCTCAAGCGTATGCTCAGCCCTGACCACCCACTACATGATTTGGTACCAGGAGCCAGGTCGGACAGCACAGGGAGGTGTTTGAGGAACTCTGGGGGAATCACGGTGCCCAAGGCACGGACAAACAGACTGTACAACTCGTTCCTCCACTGCACAATCAGATTGTACAATAGCTAAATGCAGACCTAGTGTTGTTGTTTTTTTCAAGTCCCACTCTTGTATGTAATTGTCTTGTGCGTTTCTTATACTTATAATAATATGTAAAGTCCACACAATTCAGGAGTACTATGTACCCCTGCTATGTTGACTATTCTTAATAAAATTGAAATTGAAATTGACTAAGCTAAGGATTTGTGACCTCCCACTGCAGATTAAAGTAAGTAACTAATAGACCTGAACTCCTGCGAATGATAGATTATGTACATTTGTGATTTGTGATAAGAACAGCATAGTACACTTTATTCTTGAATGCCCACTGTACAATAATAGACATAATATGTTTGTTAATGAGATACAGTTAGAACAGAAATATGTACACCTAACAAAGTATGGCATGCTTTATGCATAATGTCATCACTACGATGTAATGGAAAAGGTCGTTTACACATGTTTTAAGAGACAAGCAGCATGTAAATTATATGTACTGATAAACATAGCATAATTTCCCTACTACCGTCCTTTCGCTAACTTACTAGTACTGTATTTACCCCCAATGAGCATGAACATGTAATAAACTTCGTTGTCATTATCATTGTCATTCATCATTGTGTATACGTTCTGTTAAAAAGACTAGGACGGAGTTTCTGGTAAAGTTGTGGGCGTGCTGTTGGATGTCGACTGTTTTCCGTCTGGTATATTAATGATCTGTTGTGCCATATCTGACATCAGTGCCACTACAGGTCTACACAGTGGTCCCTGGTAAGAACCATCAGTGGGTCTTCTTATGTTCACATTTTTTAATGGAATGTCAATTAATACGGCCAGCAAATATTTTACTTACAAAGGAACAAGGTGACCTTGTGGTTAGGGTAGTTGAATCAGAGAATCCGAGCATTCAGGGTTAAAATCCCTGGTAGTCCCTAGTTTTGTGTCCCTGGACTTATTTCTTCACCAGGCTCAGGTAAAAAATGAGAACCTAGCTTCGATTAGCCGGAGCTCTCGTGATTAGCCACACCTTAACTACGTAAAAGATCCCACAAGACTAATAAAAAAGAGCAGGGCTCCTTCCCGATATAAGTGGCTCAAACCTTACAGTGTGGTCTCAGGGTTGACATCTTGAAAAGTTGACAGTCACCTGTTATGTCAATCACAAATGTGGGCAATTTTCATGAATAAATAAAACTAGTCTCACGGTAACTATTCAGCGATCACTGGTAACTATTCTGAGTCAAATTCCATAAAACACGACTTAGTATCTTCTGTTCAACCATGCTTTGTGTATTTTACAAGGCACATACTTAAATCAAATTATTATTTCAGTTCATTCAAATACATGTCAAAATGTTGTGACAGGCTCCTCGTACTGATGTAGAAAAGTTACATGGCTTGATATAAAATTGCCTGATGGATTTGATACTTCTAGTCCTGAATGTCTGCCCTGAGTCGGATTTGGTTTCAGTAAAACCGTATTCCCAAATGGTGACATGTAAACAAAGTTACATCAATACTGCACATGCCTGCTCTCCCTAGGGTGTCCAGAGTCCCGGTAGAAACCCGATTTTGTATTTCGGCAGCTGACAGTAACTGTGCAAACCTTAAACATGATCTCTGGATCTGTTCGTACATGCACAGAGAAGGCAGTAGAAGACACATCAGTACCCAAACTTATCGATGTATCACGAACATTTATAATGTTATTTTAGTGTATACTTGTAGTTACTAGATAAAGTCCAAGACGACCTATACGTTAGGCACAAGTAAAGATCTTCATTCATTCATAATTATACGTTAAAATATAGAAAAGTCTGATAGTATTAGATTCAACGGTATGAAGTCGGTTTTTTAATTTGTGCGCATGATCCGCATATCGGCAGATGTCATGTGAGACACTGAAGTTCCTATTTTACATAAAACACTACCATAGGCTTCGCAGGTATGACATTCCCGGTAACTGTTGGTTGTATTTCATGTTTGTCTGTGGCCATGCACTCGCTCTATGGTACACATTTTAGCCCCAACATGATGCCAAGATTTGAAATTCTGGTGCTTTTCAGATAATTTTATGTCTTGAAAAAATGAAACATGATGAAAGATGAAAAAATAAGAAAACACGTCTGGGGAACAAGAACAACTTGCACAAATAAACACTCGCACATACGCACACTTGCAAACAATTATACACACTTGCACGTACATACACGTACACACACACACACATATCTGCATAATATATATATATACATATACACACAGACAGCCACACACACACACGCACACACCAACACACGCACACACACACTTATACAAACACACACAGAGAGACAATGGTGAACTACTTGTTAACTCCACCACACGCTTCCTATCACACTTGAGTCTGTCCCTACCTGAGTCGAAGCCCTGCGGTGTGTGAAACAGTCACACGCGGGACGTCCTCGTGTTCTCTGCGGGCAGAACAGCGAGCAGACCCGGCACAGCAGAGCAGTCTCCCGTCGTCATGCCGGCTGTACCTCCCCCGGCGACATCTGTATTGTGTCTTCTCACCGCTGTTATTCCTGATGTTATCTCAACCGCTCTCTTTATGAGACGTCTCTGGAAATCCAGATTTATCACCACCGCGTCTCCCGCAATATACATTGTCGCTGATGAATTCCCCCGGCTCCACTTGTGCGGCACTCCCGGCACTGTTAAAGCACGTCAGACAAACTTCCACATCCATCCTCATCGCGCGCTCTGGCCAATTAGCGGTGACGAAGTAGCCTGGAGTTAGGTACGCATTTTCCGCAATCTCTCGTAATTTACATTCTTAATTATCGCGATTTTCCAACCCATGTAATAAGCTGACACAGAGTGTAGTGTAGAGTGTGACAGTTTGGAATTCTCACTGACACAGAAACCTTTCATAACGTGACGCAGTGTGGTAATTATTGAAGAAAGACGAGCTGCGTCAGGTAAGTCAGTTTCACCGGTAAGGCTACAGCAAGTCATTTTTATGGTTGACATCACACGCGCATTAATTTTAGCTAAATTTCGAGAGAAAAAACAAGAAATTGTATTGCCCTCTGGCACCGATCAACATAAAAAAATGGGCAAAAAGTCGTAAACGTCTATCGGTTTAGAGACCATCAGGGACCCAGCAAACCTACGTCTGATGGCAAGTCTTGACAGTCTGAGATGTCCTAGCCTGATTGAATCGCTTTACGGTTGTCGCCCGCCCAACATACAGCCGGAAAGGGTCCGCTAAAGCCGCGGACGGCAGAGTTTGCGTTACACAGACTAAAGGCGTCCCGTCGCACACGATTATCCAGTATGATAGCTGTATGTCCATGATGATGCGACAAGCTCTTTTCTGCAATTGTTCTAGTTAATCAAAATACACGCATTCACAATGGCAGGTAATACTGATAAAACCTGTTTGTTGTGATGATGTAATTTTTGTCCCAACAATTCTTGTTTACAAGGGATCTCAAAATTTGAAAATGTAGTAATCTTTTTTTTCTGGTCGGCTTATTTTTCGCCCTATCGCATTAATTTTGGCGTCGGTGGAGGATGTCATCCATTTTTTTTTTTGCAGTGGCCTAACTACGACATCTGGTAACGACTTCAGCCCGGCAATTCCGTGGTGTTGTGGTGGGCAGATGGATGGCCGCGGGACGATGTCGTATTTACCGGTGTGCCACGGCGTCAATCTCTCATCATTAACGTCAACTTTAACTGGACCTGAGGATCATTAGTCCGACATCCAGATCAGTCGGCCACATGAGGCAGGGTGTTCCACTGACGCCTACACACGGGGGGTTTAATGTTAGGACAACAAATTCCATTCTTATTTCACAAAAAGAAAACTACTCTCCTCTTGACAAACCTCACAAAACCAACACATTACAGAAAAAGTGGGAGAATTCCTATTCCATTGTCTCTGAAAAAGAAATCAAACCCAATATGCCATGAATTAGTGTCAATATCCAGACGAGAGTATAGTTACATGCTAGATTTTCGACCATTGTCCGCCCTTTTTATTTATTTTTTTAAATTCCAACATGTAATCACCAGACGCGGTGAAGGCACACTCAAGTGTTTCAACTTAATATGAATATATTAATGCCGCCACCAACATAGGGGACAAATACATGACAGGGCAATACTTATTTTCACTTGAGTTAAGTGAGGAAAGTCGTGTAAAGTGCATTTCCCCAGGGCACAAGATCGGTGGCATGTCAGGACTCGAACCCGGGACCTCTAGGTTCCGAGACGCGCACTCTGCCGCTACGTATACACCACACTACCCCCCTTTTTTTTTCATGTTACATGTACTTGAAATCAGCCTACGGACAACGTCACAACTCTGTTTTTATGCAGAAACTATCAGCAAAATCATCGCAGCTGATAGCGTCAGGAATAGGTATCCTTCAAAGTCTCTGAAGGCACTGTCAGCGGCAGTTTTTGAAGACACTGTCAGCGGCAGTTTTTGAAGACACTGTCAGCGGCAGTTTTTGAAGACACTGTCAGCGGCAGTTTTTGAAGACACTGTCAGCGGCAGTTTTTGAAGACACTGTCAGCGGCTGAGGACAGGTAGCAAGCGACTCCGTTGCTTCATATTAAAGGATCACATTTCGTGAATCTAGAGGGCAGAGTGTCGGTCATGGGGGATTGGGGCTGTATCCGTCCTGTCGGTTGGGGTAAAGCTGGCATGACGTATCCGAGGAGCCCCGGGCAAACCAAACACACCTGTCGGGAGGAGAGGCGCGCTTGGCTGAAAATAAAGAGATCTAGTTACGGTGAGGCCGCCTCGCACCCACAGCTACGTAGCAAAAAGCAGTTACACAGAGTTTATTCTATGAGCTTATAAGGTTGTATTTCTTTCTTTCATCCCACCTGCTCTTTTTTGT